AATTCTCAAGTTACCGAATTCTCCAAGCTTGGAATTCTCAAGTTTCCAACTTCTCAAGTTACCAAACTCTCAAGTTTCCAACTTCTCAAGTTACCGAATTCTCAAGCTTGGAATTCTCAAGTTACCGAATTCTCAAGCTTGGAATTCTCAAGTTACCGAATTCTGAAGCTTGGAATTCTCAAGTTACCAACTTCTCAAGTTCCCGAATTCTCAAGTTTGGAATTTTCAAGCTTCCACCTTCTCAGGTTACCAAATTCTCAAATGTCTAACTCCTTAAATCCCCAAATCCCCAAATACCCAAATTCTCCACCTTCCAGTTCAACCTCCAAACCCCTCAAACACCCAAATTTTCCCCCTTCCCTCCTCAAATTCCTCTCCAACCGCGATCCATATTTCCATAATTTTCCGGCAGCGCATCAGGAAGAATCTGGAACACTCCACGCAATAAAACCGAATCGATCGAAGCATCCCAATCGACCGTCAATTGCCCCGCTAATCACCGCGAAGTGACACGACGATAAAATCTTCCATGTCGCTGACATTCGACACATTTCGCTAATCTGAATACTACAATGTAAACAAACATTTACAGAGAATTTTATTGCCGGCTGTAAAACGACTCTTCTGCCATTTTGGTACGCTCTAATCAACATTATAAAACGAGTCATGAGATGTTTAACGAGCTGCGATTTTTCATCGGCTTATTGCGGTGACTCTTTTTTTTTAAAAGTATAAGTCAGTGACTTTTCTCGTTGGTTATCTTGGCCGCGATATCGAGTTAAGTCTTTCGCAAAAGAAGGATTTCAAGCGTTATATTAAACTTCTCTTCATTTGCAATGTCTGTGACGTACTGCGAGCACGTAAATATCGCAATTGAGGCGATCATCGCTGGATTTAATTTCTGAACTGTTAAGAGATTATTTCTTTGAAGTCTAAAGAATTTATTCGATAATTTATCCTATGTATACTGGTGCGACTTGTGTCAAATACTATCATGACAGGAAGTTGTCAAAATGAGGTAAGGTGAATTTAATTTTATAGCAAAAATTTGTAAAACTTGACTTAGAGTTAACAGAGGAAAATACAACTCAAAATACATCATTAAAATTATGTCATTTGTCAATCATCATCAATCAAGAGCAAGTACTGTTTACAGAAGACAAACTATTTAAATTGTAATAGTATTTGCAAACTCTAGGTTCTGAAAATGACAGGTTCACACACAGTGAACGTGAAGAGTTAAATAAAAATTGCAGTGACATCTTCAGAAGCTGTGGTCTTTTTTCCATCCACAACTTATGTCAACCGTCCTTAGCAATTAATAGCGAGTAAAAGGTTAACACGATCGAGAAATTCAGTTTTAAATGTCAGCGTTTTAAACTTGCAATTTTTTCGCGCGCAAAATGCAGTCGTACAAATGGCACGTTATCGCGTTAAATAATTACATCGAACGGAGGAAAACCGCTCTGGCACGAAGGTACGTTTAGAATTCTGCAGAAGCAATCTTGACTCGCGTCTTTTGTTAGCGTTATTCGATCGGTTTTCCTGTAGGATTTTCCTTGAGTACACGATTTCTTCACCACTTGACATGCCATTTAACATGTCGGTCAATTGCGTTCGTATCAGAAGTTTCCTCAAAGCCGAGTTTACACGTATTCGCGCATTTACTGGAATAAAATGAATTGATAACCCTGTTTGCTCGGTTTAATTCGCTCGAGTTTGCCGATTAATTTCCCTCGGGCGGGGCTCGAATATATTACCCTGTCGACGGTATTTATGTCGTTTATTGTTTGACAACCGTGAGCTAAAATCGGGCGAGCATTTGGCGTTTATGGAACGGACAAAATAGTGCAAAATAGTATCAATTTAATTGAAGGATTTTTTTATATTTTTTTTATTCGTGATTTTATGGATATTGAAACATAGAGTGTAGTGTGCTGAATAGTTTTAAAGGGCAAATAGACAAAATGGTGCAAAATGTTTTACAGATAGCATCAATTTAATAGAAGGATTTTTTATATTTTTTTATTCATACGTTTATGTATATTGAAACATAGAGTGTAGTGTGCTAAACATTTTTAAAGGGAAAACACGCAAAATAGTTTAAAATGCTCTACAAATAGTATCAATTTAATCGAAGGCTTTGTTATATATTTTTCTTCATACTTTTATGTATATCGAAACATAAAGTGTAGTGTGTTAAACAATTATAAAGAGAAAACACCCAAAATAATTAAAAATGCTCTACAAATAGTATCAATTTAA